ACAATAATCAAAGATAACAGTAGCACTAGCACACACACCTTTTTAAACAGCTCGCCATTCATGGAGAGCTTGTGAATCATGGTAAAGGCTTGATTAACATGCAACTGCATTGCTTCTGGAAGAACATCTAGAGAAACATATGGGTGTTCACTGTCGCGGTCACTTGAACAACTAATGGAATAGAGAAGAGAAAGAAATACATAATCTCCATTAGTTTCATTAGTAAAGTCAGTCAATAATCAAGGACAACAGTAGCATTAGCACACGTACACTGAACACGTGGGAATTATGTACAGTACATCCTGAAAGTATTCACACTCCTCAATGTTTCACAATTTGTTGTATTGCAGTCATCTCCTTCAGTCAAATAAGTTAATTTTTTTCTCCTTGATCTAGACTCAGTGATCCATAATGACAGCAAGAGTGTTATAACATAGGGTGTGAATACTTATGCCCATGTGGATATTTCAGTTTTTTTAATGATTTGCCAAAACTTCAACAATTCTGTATTTTGCTGTCATTATGGGGCACGGATTCTAGATCAGGGAGAAAAAAATGAACTTATTTGACTGAAGGACATGACTGCAATGCAACAAATGCTGAAACATTGAGAGGGGTGTGAATACTCTCTGGATGCATTGAACATAATTCCCACGTGTTCATTCATAGTTTTGATGCCTTCAACGAGAATCTACAATGGAAATAGACATGGTAATAAAGGAAACATTGATTGAGAAGGTGTGTCCAAACTTTTGGCCTGTACTGTACCTTTTCAAACAGCTCGCCATTCATGGTTGAAAAGGTCATGAACCAAGTTACAGAAGCTTAGATTAACATGCAACTGCATTGCTTCTAGAAGAACATCTAGAGAAACATATGGGTGTTCACTATTGCGGTCACTTGAAGGAACATCTAATGGAAGAGAGAAGAGAAAGAAATACATAACCTCCATTAGTTTCATTAGTAAAGTCAGTCAATAATCAAGGACAGCAGTAGCATTAGCACTAGCACACATACCTTTTTAAATAGCTCGCCATTCATGGTCTGAGAGGTCCTGAATCAAAGTAAGGACTCTTGGATTCACATGGAGCCGTTTTGTTTTTGTTTGTTCCACTTTCGTCCCCTTCTCCGGATTAATAGAGAAGAAACATCTAGGTTAACAGAAGAGAGAAGAAACACATATACCACTATAAATGATACAACCATCTCAACCAGTCAAATCAGTACAAAGGAAAAGACAAAAAAGGTGAGAATACGGGTTGCAGTTTTCCATTACTTAAAGTTTAACTGGTAGGCGGGGAGCTAAGCGGCCAACCGTGAACCCCCCACATAATCCAACTTTTTTTATTTATTTTTTTTTTTAAAGGTCTCATCATGCTTAACATGAATCAGAATGTTTACATTGAACATTTTGCACTACATGTTTCAGGTAGTCAGTGTATTTTCCAAACATTGCAAATTGCATTGCACCTTCCCCTAGCTCATGGAGAGTCATGTTCCTGTAATGCGTTTCCATTGCATTTTCAATGTATGGAAATACATTGACTACCTGAAACATGTAGTGCAACCCAAAATGTTCAGTGTTAACATTCTGATTCATGCTCAGTATGATCAGACTTTTAAAAGAAAGTTGGTTCCTTTGAATTATGGGAGGATGCACCTTAAGGCCTATAGACATTAGACACTACACTCTGCCTATTGACATATCAATGTCTTTTTTTTCCCTCTTGATGCCAGACACCTTTGGTATAATGTATAGATTCCTCAGTTAAAGGACAACTTCGGTCAATTTCAACAAGAGCTCTATTGCTCAAGCTACTTGAGACTTGCCAGGGCTGAAGACGTGAGAAATTTTGGTCTAAATCCTATAGGTTTCCTTGAACAGAGAATTAGCACTGACAGCTAACCCATGGGGACATAACTTTAAATTGTGAATTTAACGCTCCAAATGTCAACGCCAAAGCTATGCAACACCAGCCGACACAATACAACACGACACTGTAATGTGTATGACTAGAAATGCTTAAAAAGTGGTTAAAACAGTGTGTTTGTGCAAGCAGCCATATACAAAATTTAAACAAATGATATGATAAAACACAGTGTAAAGTTCTGCCCCCATGGGTTAGCTATCAGAGCTAATTCTCTGTTCAAATAAACCTATACAAGTTGGACCAAACTTTTTCGCGTCTTCAGTACTGGCAAATCTCGAGTAGCTTGAGCAATAGAGCTCTTGTTGAAATGGACCGAAGTTGTCCTTTGAGCAGAACATGTCATTTTGCCCATGAAATGAAATCGTTTTTGCTAAAAAATACTCAGGCAATTAGTTTAACAAGGTGTCAACATTATTTGATACATTGTATTTCAGTTAGCAATGCTACAGAGCAGTTATCTTGACTAAGATGGTGGTGGCGATGGGGTAAAGAAACTTGGTTATCATGCCAGTAGCCACAGAAGTCAGGGGTTGAAGCTAGCCCCTAGCAAGGCACTTAACCCCATGTTGCTAAATAGAACAATAGAAATAAATAGAACAAAACAATTGTACAAAATAAAATAACATACCTCTGTAGAAATTCCAGGGTCGATGCAACCGTGGATGGGTAATAAATGTTAAAGCAGTAATAGCTGCCAAACATCATGCACAAGGCCGAGATGAAAGAAGAGATGTTCTTGTTCACGATGACTTGATCCATACTCAGCATCCGTCTCGAGGAATAGCAGGACTGCCCTATTTAAAAAAAAATCAACAGCAGCAATTTAGGTAACATTTCAACATGTCAGTAACTCGTAGCTCAAGTGTAAAAACAAGTGTGTGTACTATATGTATGCGAATGAAAAAAAAAACTCATCTCAAAAAAACTGAAACAAATAAGAGATAGAGGTCAGTGTGTGAATGAGAGAGCACGTGTTCAGTCTTAGGAAGGCAGGTGTGTGTGTGTGTTCATGTGAATGTGTGAGTGAGTGTGTGAGAGAATGAGTAGGGGTATTTGAAATTAACAGCTGAGACAAAAACAATTACAGATGCTGCATGAACATAATTTAAATTAGAAATTAAGAAATTTGGGATATATTTGTGAGTGAGGTTAAAAAAAGGTTAAAAAAAAAGTATTGTCTTTTAAACACATTAACAGTTTTATTTGGTTTAGAGTTTTACGAAATGGTAAACAAAATTAGGTTAGGGATCTGTCGAAGCGCAGCCCAAAGACCCCTTATGATGAGTACCATTAATGGACTCAGTGCTCCCTGCCTGTGGGATTCCAGAGGCAGCTGATGGGTATCAGCAGTCCAAGCGACAAGCGGCTCGGGCGGTTGCCGAGGCAAAAACTCGTTTTATGAAATGTGCCAAGAGCCTAGGCTACTGACTTTTTTTTTAACAGGGCAATGATGTAATTTTAACTGTATGACTTTTTTTTGGCATTACAGTTAATTTGTGTTTAAATTACATTAATTTGCTAATTATACAAAAAATTCTGATCTATTCAACATATTCTTACTGTAAAATGAACAGTTTTATTTGGTTAGGAGTTTTACAGTTTATCATTGTAAATTACACAATGCTTCATTGTTTTTGCATCTACAGTTTTTTTATGTCATGATTTTACAGGAATTCACTGTTAATTCTACGGATATTATTTACAGTGTTCTTCAGGATGTCTGAATCCAACAGCTCTCTCTCCTCTCAGTCTGCAGACTGATTAAAGAAGGTTTAACAACTTTAACAACACCAAAAAAGTTAAAAACAATCCACTGGACGTTTCTATTTCCATCCAGGAAGCTTTTTCTATTCCAAATGTCAGAATTAGCGTTGAGTTCCAGGTTTTATCAAGCAGCCCAACAAAGCCTTGTTTTTGTTTAGAAAACATGCAAATAGAAACTGATGAACGGGTCCACCCCTTTGGAATGGGGGTCATTTGGCTTCTTTGTTAGCCTGCAATGCCCCACACCTGTCTATGTCTCTGAAAGGGGGTCGTTAGAGGGAATAGTTGGCCTGGCTGAATAGGCGAAGTCTTCTGTTCTCCTGTGAAGGAGTTGGGGCTGCAATGATAGCGGGAAAGAATCAACTCTATCGCTGCATTGGAGGTTTTTGAAAGCTGAAATCTGACCCCCACCCCCCGTTTAAGGTTGTTTTTTCTCTCATAGATGGCTTCCTTCTTTCTGTTAAGAAAGAAAAAACAACCTTAAACAGGTTCCAAAGGGGTGGACCCATTCGTCTCTTTCAATTAGCATGTTTTCTAACCAAAAACAAGGCTTTGATGGGCTGCTGCAGGCATCCCCTAAGTGAGGGGCCGCTGTCCTGCAGGTTTTAGAGGTTTCCCTGCTTTAGCACAGCTCAGTCTGATGATTGCAGTTCAGCTAAAGCCTGTTAATCAGCTATCAGTGAAAATCAGCTGTGTTGAAGCTGGGAAACCTCTACAACCTGCAGGACAGCGGCCCTCCAGCACCCAGTTTGGAGATGCCTGGGCTCCTGTATAAAGCCTGGAACTCAAAGCTATTTCTGACATTTTGAAAAAGCTTCCTGGATGGGAAGAGAAACTTCTTCAAACTTGAAAACAAAGTCCAGTAGATTGTTCTCATTAACTTTTCTCTAATGAATCTGACCTGGATGACCGGGAAACGTCACCAGCAGAAAGTTTAACAACTTTTCTTTATAGCAAAGACCTTTGGTTCCTTCTGCTTTATCAAGGAAGCTGCTTGTTTTAACGTCGCCTGTTTTTCATGTTTTCATATCATTTAATGTTAAGGCTGTTTGACATCTTAGAATTAAAACAAATAGATTATTATAATTATCAGACTGAGAGGTTTGCAGAGGTCCTTCATTCATCTATATGAACTATTTCTACATGATGGTGTAAAAAAAAAAGAGACATGATTATATCAGACAGTGATTTAATGTGTCCTGTCAGCTATATAGAGACGGGGTTGTGCTCGGTTAGGGGCCCCAAGGTGACTAGGGGCCCCTAAGCAGTGGGCTGGTGCTTTGGTCCGGCCCAGAAATCTTTCCTAGATCCGCCTCCATGCCTCGGGGGCAGATCTGTTTGTCTGTGTTCTGCTGCTTCTGCAGAATCCGAGGCCGCCGGATGTTTTCGCTCCGTCCTTCCAGCGGCCCACCGTCACTCCGAGGATTCAGGAAAAGTTCGCTCCTGCAGAACCAGCAGGTAGGAAAGTTGGTCCAGTTCCCCGGTGCTGCTGGAACCCGAACCGAACCGCACCGGGAGGAGACGTCCAGCCGCGGATTGGGCTCCAGATTAACGGAACTTTGGATGTGAGAAAGTTTCCCTAAAGGAAACTTCACCTAATCTGAGTTCAGAGGTTTTTATTTTGTTCGCAGAGCAGAGAGGTTCTGGAGGCAAAAGATCCTGGTTCGGTCCAGGGCCGTCAGCTGACCCAGTACTATACAGGGGCACAATAGGGCACCGAAAGAAATGAGAGCGCGCACAAAAACAGTTTGGGCAATTTATTTTAAAAAGCATGGGCACAGATGATTAATGACAACCCGCAAGAAAATATTTTATAGCACTTATTTATTATTATTATTATAAAGCATTATAAATAAATAGTACAAACAGATTGTTATTTCCTGCATCATTAAGTCTCTACCTGAACCAAACTGGATTGAATTGGTCCACTTATCTCTAATCCACTGCTGATGAAGGCACAGTTTATTTTCATTAAATATGTCAGCAAACAGGAACTTGAAATGTGCCACTGTAAAAAAAAACACCTCTATAAACATGTCTGTGTTTATCATTTCTATTTGGGCCCATCCTGTGTGATGGTGTGATTCATTTAAATTTCAATGCAGTTTATTTCTATCGTTCCAATTCACATCATGTCATCTGAAGGCACTTTACAGTTCAACCAGATTATCCGTCAGATTGATTCAAAGTTTTCTATTTAAAGACAACCAGTTGATTGCATCGACTCATTGACTCTTCAGCAATCCCTCACACTAAGCTTGCTTGTGGCGACAGTGGAGAGGAAAAACTTCCTTTGAACAGGAAGAAACCTCCAGCAGAACCAGGCTCAGTGTGAGCGGCCATCTGCTGAGGCCCACTGGGGATCAAGGAGACAGAAGCAGAGATAGAAAAAGAAGCATAGATACAAAAGGCAACTGTCAACCAGCTCCACAGGAAACACACAGCCAGGCAGACGAGCTCCGAGCCAGCTCCCATGTCAGAGGATGAAGAGAGCACATCCAGTTAGTCACAGTCAGAGAAACAGGACTACACTGGAAAACAGGCCGAGCTCCAACATCTATAAACAAAGGTGTTGATGGCAGCAGCACAGCTGATATTTCTCTCCAGGATGGACTCACAGCCAAACAGGAACAGACCAGATGAAGCTACTATTCAGGTAATCCGACTCAGCATTGCTGAATCGGATTACCTGAATTATGATCTGAATAAAATTTCTGCCCAACAGGGTTCATACATGTTTTCTGAATCAAACGGTAATCTGGAATATAATAAACTTGGCCCTGTTTCTCCTCTCTCTCCTCCCAGCGCTCACCCTGCTGGAGGGGCCTCTGTTGAGCTGGTGAGGCAGGGCAGCTGCCTGTGCCGCCAGAGCGGACCTGGCGTTACATGGCGTAGTTTCTGCATCCATTGCTCACTTCTAATCTCTCCTGAGGATTTTTCTCTGGCCTCATCTGGCATTTGTTTCCCATCCGGTTATCATTTAGGTTGTGCAAGCAATGTTTTAATCTGTGATTCTTTACTAGGACCACTGTGTTTTGTAATGATAAAATATGACAAAGTCCTGGTTCTGTGTTACAGGCAACTCTGAAGCTGCTGCATGCTCAGAGTGGCCGTTACTGGAAGTGGATTACTCCATCCGCATACGTCAGACTTAAATTCTAACTAAAGTGGTATTCTATAGGCCTAGTTTAAGAAAAAAAATGCAAGCATGCATTCTGTAGATTTCGCCTTATGGCAGAGAGTTAGACTTAAATTGTTATTTTTTAAAGGCATAAATGAATAAATGAAAAAAAATGAATAATAAAATAAATGAATTAAAGAATCAGTGGCCCAGGCACCGCAGATCCTCAGCGAGGAATGTGTCTCTGTGAAAACGGTCTGCTGACGCAGATGGTTCGGTCCAGTTCACGCCTGCAGCAGCTTCCAGCTGCATGCTGTGGTCCCCCCTCCCCTACCTGCTGCTGCTTTGTGGGACCCTGCTGGGTCCTGGGCTGTTTTTCTCCCTCATTGTTTCACCTGAGAGGTTTTTCTGCTTGCTGGTTCTCCTCTGCCTTCTGCTCGGCCCAGCTGGGCCGGTTCTGGTTCTCCTGCTCGGCGCTCTGGGAGCTTCTCTGTTGTGATGCAGGCTGGAGGAGCGAAAGTCCAGCTCCGTTAAAGGAGCAGGAAAACATCCTCACTGCATCTTCTGCTTCCTTCCAACAACAGAGAAAAAGTGAAGTTACTTCATCAGATGTTGTAATCCTAGAAAAGGAGAAGTGAACTCTGATTGTCTAAGGCGTGAAGAAACATCCCTCACGGGCCGCAGGGAGCAGCTTCCTCTCCCTGACTTTAGCTCCTCTGAACTCCGCTGCTTTATCTGCTGTAAGCTGCTCAGCATCTCCTCTCCTGAAATAATGATGCAGAAATGATGAAGTAAACGCCGGCTGATTCATTTTCGTCCTCCAGGTGGGACGTCCTCTGCCATGTCTCGGTACCTGAGGCATTTCACAGCTGTGGGCGACCCACAGGTGGACCAGTGGGTGGATGAGGAGCTGCATGCTGACAGCGAGGAGCTGGGTCCGGCTACAGGCCAGTTCCCAGCAGCGCCCACCTTCAGGGACTCACTGAGGAGGCTCTTCACCTCCGACCGCTTCCAGGTAGGCCGCCGCCTCTAACCGCCGCCGCCTCAGATTCTGGTAACAAGAGATACTGAAAGGACGGAGTGATGGAGATAGGATTTCCTCTCTACACATCTACCATCAGAATAATTTATAATAATTGAACTTTATTGATCTCACATTGGAGAATTTTACCTCTAGATTGAACCCGTCCCCTTGGGGAGCAGTGGGCTGCCATCATGGGGCGCCAGGGGAGCAGAGTGGCTCTAATCATAACACAACCTGCTTCTCCACCAGTTCCATCTGGTTATTAGTTAATTATGTTAAGATATATGTATATTCTGATTGATTGATTGACTTTATTGATCCAACAGTGGAACATTTTACTTGTCACATCAGCTTAAATAGTCAAAAAGAGAAGAAGAAGGTGTCAAAGGAAGATTTTGATGGAAAAATCATTCATAGAATTTCATATTTCGAGTTTTTCATGTTTTGAACATTTCTGCTCTTTCTAGAAATTTTTTAAGTTTGAATTTTTACAGTAAAAATATTCCAACCAGTTGGGTCCACATTCGGACGAGTTGGGTCCCCATTCGGACGAGTTGGGTCTCATTAGGACCAGTTGGGTCTCATTAGGACCAGTTGGGTCTCATTCGGACGAGTTGGGTCTCATTAGGACCAGTTGGGTCTCATTAGGACCAGTTGGGTCTCATTCGGACGAGTTGGGTCTCATTCGGACCACTTGGGACCCCATTCAGACCAGTTGGGACCCCATTCGGACCAGTTGGGACCCCATTCGGACCAGTTGGGTCCCCATTCGGACCAGTTGGGTCCCCATTCGGACCAGTTGGGTCCCCATTCGGACCAGTTGGGACCCCATTCGGACCAGTTGGGACCCCATTCGGACGAGTTGGGTACCCATTAGGACCAGTTGGGTACCCATTCGGACCAGTTGGGTACCCATTCGGACCAGTTGGGTCTTATTCGGACCAGTTGGGTCTGAAGTTGAGCTGTTGGCTCTAAGTCCAGCGGTTGGAACATCTCTCCTGCTGTCTCTGGCTCCTCCCCTTTAGATACTGGTGGTGGCTTTGGTCGTCCTGGACGCCTTCTTCGTCATGGCGGAGCTGCTGATAGACCTGTCAGTCATCAAACTGGACCACGGCCACATTGCTCCTGAGGTGAGACACAGATCCAGATCCAGAAAGTTCTTCTTGCTGGTTTCATGAACTCCAGCACGTCTTCACTCTGCAGGTGTTCCACTACCTCAGCCTGGCTCTTCTCACCTTCTTCATGGTGGAGCTCTTTGGGAAGCTGTTTGTTTTCCGGCTTGAGTTCTTCTACCACAAGTTTGAGGTGTTTGACGCTGTGGTGGTGGTCGTGTCATTTGTGTTGGACATTGTCTTCATCTTCCATGAGGACGCCTTCGACGGCGTGGGTCTCCTCATCCTGCTGCGACTTTGGAGAGTGGCCAGAATCGTAAACGGTCAGTGTCCCTCAGAGGGAGGTGTGGAAGTGGACTGTGGATGTGTCAGGCACTGGCTGACTGTGTCTGATCACGCTGCAGGGATCTTGGTGTCGGTGAAAACCCGCGCGGACCAGAAGATCCACAAGCTGAAGGAGAGTTATGACCACCTGGTGGAGAGAGCCTCAGAGCTGCAGAGGAGGAACGACGAGCTGGTGAGTCTCTGAGCCTCCTCTGACCGCTGCAGGTACCAGACCTGCTGGAGGCCCTTTTTTATGACATCATCATATGTTTTTCCGTAAAAGTTTAAAAACAATCCACTGGACTTGGTTTCCAAGGTTTGAAGACGTTTCGCTTCCCCTCCAGGAAGCTTTCTCAATTCAAATGTCCTTATATCACATCATCATATGGCAACCCCACTCAGACAGACTGGATTACATCTGTTTCTTTAGAATCAGATTTCTTCTGGAGTCTCAACATATTCCCCATATTTACTATTATTTTATGTTTCATCTGTGCTCTAAAGTAGCTGAAAGTAGAAAACCATCATTCTGAGTGTTGAAGGAAGTGAAGCACTGCTTTCTGAGACAGACTGAGCTCAGACATTTAACCTCCTAAAATCCACCTGCTCGCCAGCGACCATTTTTAAAGCAACTAACAACTCAGGAAACATGAAAGCAGTAAAATGTTTTCTAATATAGACATGTTAGACATCGTTGGAAAGCTTAGATACTCCACAATTCAACCACCAAGTTCATTTTATGGACACAGCGAGCACCAAAGCACAATTAACACAGATATAGCAGCATGTCAAAATGTGAACATTATAAACCAGCCACAAAAACATCCCTTTCAAGGCATCCAGAATCCGTTTTATAAATCCAATCTTCGATTGTTTATACTCCATTCGTCCATAAGAGTCCACAGATTAAAACTAATCCAGAATATTCGTAATAAAAATATTCAATGATGAGAAAATCGCCATAAAACATCTGTTTTTTGACAAAAGAAAAGTTAGCTGGTCATAGCAAATAATGATTTGTATTTAAAATAAGATTTTTTTTTTTTACATCAAACTTTGATTTTGTCAAAGAATCCTCCATTTGCAGCAATTCCAGCATTGCAGACCTTTGGCATTCTAGCTGTTGATTTGTTGAGGTAATCTGGAGAAATTGTCCCCCACGCTTCCAGAAGCAGCTCCCACAAGTTGGATTGGTTGGATGGGCACTTCTTGCGTACCATACGGTCAAGCTGCTCCCACAACAGCTCAACAGCTTTGCCACTCTGCCCTGAAGCCCAGAATCCTGCAGCCGCCTCTTCACTGTAGATGTTGACACTGGTGTTTTGCAGGTACTATTTAATGAAGATGCCAGTTAGGGACCTGTGAGGCGTCTGTTTCTCAAACTAGAGACTCTAATGTACTTATCTTCTTGCTCAGTTGTGCAACGCGGCCTCCTACTTCTTTTTCTACTCTGATTAGAGCCTGTTTGTGCTGTCCTCTGAAGGGAGTAATACACACCGTTGTAGGAAATCTTCAATTTCTTAGCAATTTCTCGCATGGAATAGCCTTCATTTCTAAGAACAAGAATAGACTGTTGAGTTTCAGATGAAAGTTATTTTTTTCTGGCCATTTTGAGCGTTTAATTGACCCCACAAATGTGATGCTCCAGAAACTCAATCTGTTCAAAGGAAGGTCAGTTTTGTAGCTTCTGTAACGAGCTAAACTGTTTTCAGATGTGTGAACATGATTGCACAAGGGTTTCCTAATCATCAATTAGCCTTCTGAGCCAATGAGCAAACACATTGTACCATTAGAACACTGGAGTGATAGTTGCTGGAAATGGGCCTCTATACACCTATGTAGATATTGCACCAAAAACCAGACATTTGCAGCTAGAATAGTCATTTTAATAGTTAAGACTAGTTTAAAGTTATCTTCATTCAAAAGTACAGTGCTGTTCCTTCAAAAATAAGGACATTTCAACGTGACCCCAACTTTTGAACGGTAGTGTATATATATATATATATATATATATATATATATATATATATATATATATATATATATATATATATATATATACACTATATTGCCAAAAGTATTTGCTCACCCATCCAAATTATTGGAATCAGGTGTTCCAATCACTTCCATGGCCACAGGTGTATAAATTCAAGCACCTAGGCATGCAGACTGTTTTTACAAACATTTGTGAAAGAATGGGTCGCTCTCAGGAGCTCAGTGAATTCCAGCGTGGAACTGTGATAGGATGCCACCTGTGCAACAAATCCAGTCGTGAAATTTCCTCGCTCCTAAATATTCCACAGTCAACTGTCAGCTGTATTATAAGAAAATGGAAGTGTTTGGGAACGACAGCAACTCAGCCACGAAGTGGTAGGCCACGTAAACTGACGGAGCGGGGTCAGCGGATGCTGACGCGCATAGTGCGAAGAGGTCGCCAAATTTCTGCAGAGTCAATCACTACAGACCTCCAAACTTCATGTGGCCTTCAGATTAGCTCAAGAACAGTGCGCAGAGAGCTTCATGGAATGGGTTTCCATGGTCGAGCAGCTGCATCCAAGCCATACATCACCAAGTGCAATGCAAAGCGTCGGATGCGGTGGTGTAAAGCACGCCGCCACTGGACTCTAGAGCAGTGGAGACGCGTTCTCTGGAGTGACGAATCGCGCTTCTCCATCTGGCAATCTGATGGACGGGTCTGGGTTTGGCGGTTGCCAGGAGAACGGTACTTGTCTGACTGCATTGTGCCAAGTGTAAAGTTTGGTGGAGGGGGGATTATGGTGTGGGGTTGTTTTTCAGGAGCTGGGCTTGGCCCCTTAGTTCCAGTGAAAGGAACTCTGAATGCTTCAGCATACCAAGACATTTTGGACAATTCCATGCTCCCAACTTTGTGGGAACAGTTTGGAGCTGGCCCCTTCCTCTTCCAACATGACTGTGCACCAGTGCACAAAGCAAGGTCCATAAAGACATGGATGACAGAGTCTGGTGTGGATGAACTTGACTGGCCTGCACAGAGTCCTGACCTCAACCCGATAGAACACCTTTGGGATGAATTAGAGCGGAGACTGAGAGCCAGGCCTTCTCGTCCAACATCAGTGTGCGACCTCACAAATGCGCTTCTGGAAGAATGGTCAAAAATTCCCATAAACACACTCCTAAACCTTGTGGACAGCCTTCCCAGAAGAGTTGAAGCTGTTCTAGCTGCAAAGGGTGGACCGACGTCATATTGAACCCTATGGATTAGGAACGGGATGTCACTTAAGCTCATATGTGAGTCAAGGCAGGTGAGCAAATACTTTTGGCAATATAGTGTATATATATATATAGATATATAGATATATAGATATATAGATAGATATATATATATATATATAGATATATATGTCAATAACCAGATGAAAATGAATAAAAAAAGTTGAAAATACTTCAGTGTTATTCTATGGGTAAATTTGGCACATTTTGAGAGGTTTGGAAATGCTGGTGACAACAAAAGTTCAAAGCCCCACAGCTCTGGAACAGTTGGAGCTAGAGGACATTTTGGTTGTGGTTGACATGATGTAGAATAAATGTAAGACAATGAGAGATGCCTTTTCTCAAGCATGTCTTTATTACTGCTGTTCAAATAAGACCTATTTTTTGGAGAAGGAAAAAAAACACGTAGTTATGTTTGAGCTGATGCAGTTTAGGGTGTGTTTTAGTTTTATGTATTCAGAATCAAACGATGTATCACACATGAAATTTTGGGCTCACAGTTCTTCAGTTATCTGCTTTCCCATTTGGTTATGCAAAATATGCGACAATTACTTCAAATTAGGTGGGTTTTATTAACAAGGAGAAACAAAAGGTCTCAGGGCTCTTTTTCCTCTTTTTATTAAGATCGGAGTGTAGAAGAGGACGGATGGAATATCTAAAATTGATCTTTGTAGAGATTTTAGACAAAGAAAACAGTTATTCTACTTGTAGAAAATGACGGTTGTTGTTGAAAAGAAGTTAAAAGTAGTGTAGCTTAATATGGCTAACTGAGCAAGCTAAAAGAGGCTAACCTGTTAGCTACTGCTAGCCACAGCGCTACCCAGCTCTCCTCCTTTATATCATGGTCTAACAGTTACTTTGTTCACCTGTAACATATTTTTTTTCAGTTTCTTTATCGATCAGGTAAAACTTCATCGGTCATTAGACACACTAGAGCTGCGTTCACACCAAACGCAGCAGGAGCAGCAAAAACGCGTCTGCTGCTTCCTTTTTGCTGCTTGTACCAGTTTAGCTCTACTACTGAAGCAGCTTTGCTGCTCCAGCTGCGCTGTACAAAAAGTGGATCTGACGCACGTTGGGCGGAGCTACCCTCTCCTTTATTTGCCTTGCAGCTATATTTGCTGTGATCAGTGGGAATAAGAAAGTTTTAATGTTTTTAAGTGGGAAAATCCACCTTAAAAAAACTTAATCACTGCAGTCATTTCATCCAGATTACCATCCTGCCTTCCAATATTATTTCTGTGGGAGCTGCTCAGACCCCCACATACCGGCGGTGCGCTCCTCAGTAGGAATCCCATTCAACAGCAGCCTTTGGCCCGGTTGCCTCCTCGCGGTTTGCCGTGGCGGCTGGAAGGAGGTTTTCATGTACGTAATCCAAACTGCAGGCACCAGGATAATAAAAGTGAACTTGTTTTCTCAGCAGGTTTCAACATTTTAAGTTAATTTAGGCGTTAATAAACAGTTTCAGAGGAGTGATCATAGCGCTCTGCATAAGCAGTGCGGTGTCCGTCTCCCTGCCAGCTCCTAGAGCAGCATCTCTGATTGGTTGATGCGGCGCATCGAGCAGCAAAAGTAAAATTTTTCTATCTCGAGCAACAGCCCGTTTGCGGCTCATTAGGCGCGTCACATGCTTAAACACTCCCGACGCGCTGCGCCTGCTGCTCAAACAGCGCTGCGGGACATTTTGCTGCGCCTTGACGCGCGTCAACCGTTGACTTTTCATGTAAACTCGCTGCTCCTGCTGCGTTCGGTGTGAACCAAGCATAGCGCTACAGATGCTATGGACTCGGCCCACTGACGCTGCGTGATGTTATTATCGTTGTCTGGGCAACAACAATGTTTTACATCATGTGGCAATGTTCAACAATCATGTAGTGTGACGTCACTGGCATTAAGCAGGACCCAGCAGATCTGGTACCTACAGCGGCCCATTAGGAGTCCTTAGAGGCCGTCCGCCTGTGGTTCTGGTCGGGTTCTATAGAGAACCCATAGGTTCCCCCTGAGATTCAGTCTCAAAACCACATCCAACAGGGTCATTGGAGCAGCTGTTGGGTCGGTACCAGGTCCTGCTGGATTATCAAACTATCAGGAGGGCTCTAGAATGTTCTGGTAGATGGCATAGTAGCTTCATCTGGTCTGTTCCTGTTTGGCTGTGACTCCATCCTGGAGAGAAATATCAGCTGTGCTGCTGCCATCAACACCTTTGTTTCTAGATGTTGGAGATCGGCCTGTTTTCCAGTGTAGTCCTGTTTCTCTGACTGTGACTAACTGGATGTGCTCTCTTCATCCTCTGACATGGGAGCTGGCTCAGAGCTCGTCTGCCTGGCTGTGTGTTTCCTGGACGGGGCCGCCTGTGGAATCTGACTAGATGATCTGGTGAACTTGAGATGACATGATGTGAATTGGCGCTATAGAAATAAAGTGAATTAAACTGTATTGTTACCAGCAGCTAGGAGCTATAGAAATAAACTGAATAGAATTGAATTGATTACATGAAAATTGAAGTGGATTTCAAGCTGGCAGCTTGGATAAGACCGGTTTGGCAAATTTTGAAGATTTGAGGGAAGTTTCCGTGGGGGAAACTTTTAATTGTTAATTAACTGTTAATTGTCCTTTTTTAGTAAAGGCCATACGGCTGTCTAGCTAAAAGCCTGCCTGGAAAACCTGCTTGTCCAGAGAGCTTTGTTGCAGGACTTTACTGTAATCTTCTGTGAAGAAGTGATCAATTGTACTGGCATGCATCAATCAGCGGGCTAGCTGCACCTCTCTCTTCTCTTCTGTGTGGTTGCAAACCCACTTTCAGCAAATTACCACCACCTAAAGGTCTGGAGGGATACATTTAGCTGCTTTTTACATGTAATATGAAAGTTGATTGCTTTTGAGATTTGAAAACTGCCTTTTGTTAAATTCCGATTATATTGCATATGCAATGAATTACCCAGCCCTAGACAGAACCATGGGAGGAGGATGAAGATGAAGGAGATCATCTTGGACTTCAGGAAGAACTGGCCCAACCATGAGAGGCGGTCAACAGCATCAAATTCCTGGGGGTGCACATCACAGACACCCTCACCTGGACTGGAAACACCACCTCACTGGTCAAAAGGGCCCAGAAGCGCTTGGACTTCCTGTGGAGGATGAGGAGAGCCCACCTGCCCCCCCCCATCCTCTCCACCTTCTCCAGAAGCACCATAGAGAGCGTTCTGACCAGCTGTCTCACTGTGTGGTGTGGAGGCTGCAGCGCCTCAGACTGGTAGAAGGTGAGAACAGCAGAGAGGATCGTGGGGGCTCCTCTTCCCTCCATTAAAGACATTTCATCCCAGTGCTGCGTGTCCCGAGCCCGTGACATCATCAATGACCCCCCACCCCCCCACCATGGACTGTTCTCCCTGCTGCCCTCTGGGAAGAGGCTTCACAGCATTCAATGCAGGACCAGCAGGTTCTGCAGCAGCTTCTTCCCCACCACCATCAGACTGATGAACTGCTGTGTAAAATGGGTTATTTATAAAAAAAAAAATTAAAGTTTAGAACTGTAAATATACAGTTGTATATTTATATTACTATTTTTTTTAATGTATTAATGTTCTTCAAGGCTGCACTTTAAAGAATGAAATTGTCTCGAGCTCTTTTAAATGTCTTTTTGGATACACTCGTGTATACAAAATAAATCTGTCTAAGGTTTGAGGTTGGATCTAACTGCCTCTCCGTCTCTGACAGGTGCAGGAGAACCAGAGGCTGCAGGCTCTCCTGGAGAAACACGGCATCCGATCCTGACTGAGCTACAGCTGGAACCTCCTGTCATCCCGGCTCCGAGGCGGAGGATCGCTGTCGTTTTTCAGTAGAACTTCTGCAGGACTTTGGCCTGAAATGTCGGCCATGTTAAGTTTAAGAATGTGGCCTGTAAATATGATCTTCTTATGAATGGATTGAACTTTCTTTAAATTCTAAAATAAAAACATTCTACATTTAAGAAAATAAAGAGCTTTATTTCTGAAAATCTATAAACATTTATCTACAGGATTTACATGATAAACCGTGTTTTTGTTCTGATTGGTCGGCTCAGACGAAAGGGAAGAAGAAGTCGAAGGGGAGCTTAGCATCGATGGTGGGCGTGGCCCGGTACCCAGGGAGGGCGGCAGCAGACACGGGGATGAAGGCCACGGAGCTTCTGATTGGTAGGATGCTGCTGCCAGCAGGAGGCGGGGCCTGTGGAGGAGGACAAACTGGTTCTAACTGGGCTCTGTGGGACGGAACCTTTTAGACTGGAGACATGTGTTCTGGTCTGAGATCAGAGCGTAAACGGGTAGTGAGACTTACCAGACTGCTGCGGTTGGTCTCTATGACCTCCCTGATGGTCACTATCTGAGCCTGGGGGTTCTGCAGGGACCCATATTTGGTCCATTCTATCTCCAGGTGGAGTGAAACTGGGATGGAGCAGCTTCCTTCCTCCTGAAAGGGACAGAAAACATTTAAATGTCTCTAACAGTCCCACATGTGGATCATCCAGCCCAGGAGCTCACCGTGGGGCTGATGGTGGTTCTAATGGGAACCCAGTCCAGCACATTCTCTAACGGGGAGTTTCCAAAGGAGGCCACAAACCGCGGAGGGGCCGGTCCCCTCAGGACATCCAGGAGCTGCTGGGAAACCAGGGAGCAGTTGGTCACGTCCTCCAGCCTGCAGGGACATGAGGTCAGGAGGTCAGAGGTCAGCCTAGCGGGAGCGGCTGTGAGCGGGCCCTACCTTAGCGTGCAGCCCGACACAAAGTCCAGCCCGAAGCGGACGAGAGCGCGTTGGTGGGGGCCCCGCAGACAGTCCTGGTCCCCCTGGGTGAGCAGCACAGACAGAGCGTCGCTCAGCTCCACGCTCCTGCTGATGCCGGTGCAGAGGACGGTTAAGGATAGGGCCGCATTCTCATCGGTTCATCTGCTGATTAATCCATTAATAATCAAATATCCAAAAGTTCCTTACAGAAGAGTTTTTACAAGTTTAAACCAGGCGAAACTAAAGAGTTTCCCTTTGAGGAGATCTGCATAGAGTAGAATGCACCTTAAATGCAAAATGTTTAAATAAAAAAAATAAAAAATGTTGGTATAATTTCTGCTCTAAGTGAGTCACTCTGTCAGCTTAAGTCATGTTTTATAGTCTCTATACTCCAATGAATGATTAATCAATTAGTTTTTGATTATTATATTAATCGAATAATTGTTTCAGCTCTAGTTAAGGAGGAACCCTGGAGTTCATCTCCTCAGCATGATTTCCATAGAAAAAGGATATTCTGCTACTCGGTCTCCTGACATGAGAGCCGATCCCACCAGGTATCCCGGGTTCCCGCTGTGATGGACGCCGCGCTCCCCTCCAGCCTGCACACACAGAACGGCAGCTTCAGCGCAGGCGGTCCACCAGACAACCAGAACATTCAAATGTCGCCCTGAAATCCGACCTGGACCAAGACACCCTCCCCGGTTCTGTAGAGGAAGACGTGACACCCTGGAAATGATTACCTGGATGAACTGGACCTGGAACTCCTGCTGCAGCGAGGCCTCCGCCGTGCTCATGAATCCAAGCACCAGAGAAACGCTGGCCTGCTCCACCTCACCGCTCCGGTTATACTGGATCACAAAGACGACCTGAGAAGACGACATGGATCGTTTCTGTACTCGGGTCCCTCAGGGTGACACCATAGGAACTGCTCTCCAGCCGCTACAGTGAGGGGCCTAGTCAAAGTTCAGACTTGGAATCCCTGATTAGACTTTGTAGTTTTGATCTAGACCTTTGAGAAGGTTCTGATCGGCCGGTGTAGGTACCAGATTGACTTGGGCTGCCAGATTGACTAGGGGGCCTGCGCCTTTTGATGACGTCACAATACATAATTGTTTTAACGTTTGCACAATTGTGCAAAACATTTTGATTGGTCTGGACAGCTTACTAAAGTAATTATAGCGGGGTGTAGGTTTTATTCGAAAGCGGGATTGCGGTTTGTAAACGGACAATTTTACGAAGAAATTCTCCATGGTCCCTGTGCCTTCCGATGACGTCACCAAATTCGCCATGGGCCTTGCGCCTCCCGATGACGTCACATTATGGCAACACCACTCAAACAAACTACATTGAGCCCGCGGTCTGCATTTGTAACGAGAATAAATTCAGGAGAATGAAGCTAAAGGGATACAAAAAATAAACTTGTAATATTACAAAAACAAAAATACTACGAATACAAAGTATATTCAGAGATTAAAGTCCGTCTGATACTGTTTAAGTGACTGAGAAACTGCAGATTTGCCACATTTAAGATGGCGGACGCTCTGACGCATCTCAGCATAGGCAGATCCCGCCCAATGACGCGTCTACATCATATAATGTCAGTAGATTTGTGACAAATGGAGACCACGGGCGCAATGTAGTTTGTTTGAGTGGAGTTGCCATATAGTGATGGGCGGAGTTGCCATATTATGACGTCATCAAAAGGCGCAGGTCCCCGAGTCAATCTGGTACTTACACCGGTCACAGTTTGACCCCCTCTGAGGTTCTGTCCACTAACTGATCCAACCAGGCTGGCGGGGCCAAACATGTCCGGTCTGAAGAACTCAGGGGCCACAACCTGTTGATGCTTCATCATTTGTTCCAGTCTTACCTGTTCAACAGTGAAGCAATGATATTTCCACAGAAAAGGAGCCGGAGGTCGTCGTACCTTCAGCACCACGTTGGCACAGAGGGAGGGGCTAACGGCCTCAGGAAGTAGGGCCCCCCCACCGCTGATGGTCAGCTGGGTCTGAGCCCCCTCTGCCGACTGCAGGACGACTGACTCCACATCCACAGGAACCACCTGGAGCGACACAGAAGTCCAACATGTCCGCCTGACTCTTCAACTTCAGATAAAGGCTTCAGACATTGCTTCTGTCTGATTAGACCCTAAACTCTAACATCCTGCAGCAGCTGCTGTTTTAGAGCTAGCAGATGTTCTCCTGGTCTTACAGGTCAGAACCATCAGTTCAAAGGGAAAGAATCCACAACATGATATAAAGTCAATATCAGTGAAGACACTGCAGCGTTCTGCTGTCTGAATAAAAGCTAAAAGAGTAGAAAAGATTTAGAACGTTACTCACCGCTGCAGCGGCGTCCTTCCCCTGTAAAACAAACATTTAGTTTATCATCCAACGCCTCTGATTGATTGGTGGAGACATTCAGAGGTTCACGCTGCTACTTCCAACAAGCAAAACATTATGACCACAATGGCTGAGGAACGGATAGTTAGAAGAAATGGGGGTGGTTAATGACCTGTGCAGACCTGGGGCTCTGCACAGGTCAGTAACCTCTGACCTGTGCAGAGCAGGAAGCTCCTCAGAGCTGCAGTTCTGATATCACATCCTATCAGAACAGGTTCTGATAGAGAGACGATTGGGCCAGCATCAGGATTCCTCTGAGCTCTGCGACCCAAACGTCACACCGTAGACAGCAGAGGAAGTGAAGCTGCTTCATGTGAAGCCATCAGAGACAGAAATCGACCTCGAGGCAGAAGGAAGTTTCACAAAGCAGAACTTGTGAAACTTCTTCTGCTGTGACCACAACTACTGCATGACTTTGAACCCAGAGGACGGCAAGTTCAGAAAGTCTGAGGAAGGACTCACAGCAAGCAGCTGAATGGATGAGTAGGTGTCCATCCTGAGGGCCTCCTGAGAGCCACAGACAGTACCTGGGGCCAACCGCTGGGAACATCGGCTGCTTCGGTCCTGCAGGAACCCTGAGGACAGAACCAGACAGGCCTTTTCTCATCATCCATGCAGATAAATGGAAACCAGCAGAACTTCCTCTGACCGGATTTTCCTCTGAGCTCTGCTCTGTGGAACAGTTCAGACTTCTAGCAGCAGCTACATTTGAGGCTCCTGCTAACGTTGCCATCCATCCATCCGTCCGTCCGTCCATCCATCCATCCATCCATCCATCCATCCATCCATCCATCCATCCATCTTCTTCAGCTTATCCGGGGTCGGGTCGGGTCGTGGGGGGTAGCAGCTTCAGTAGGGAGCCCCAGACGTCCCTCTCCCCAGCCACTTGGTCCAGCTCCTCCAGGGGAATCCCAAGGCGCTCCCAGGCCAGCAAAGAAACATAGTCCCTCCAGTGTGTCCTGGGTCTCCCCCTCGGCCTCCTCCTGGTGGGACGTGTCTGGAACACCTCACCAGGGAGACGTCCAGGAGGCATCCTATCAGATGCCCGAGCCACCTCTACTGGCTCCTCTCCATGTGGAGGAGCAGCGGCTCTACACTGAGTCCTCCCCGGATGACTGAGCTCCTCACCCTTTCTCTAAGGGAGAGCCCAGACACACTACGGAGAAAACTCATTTCAGCCGCTTGTATTTGGGATCTCATTTTTTCGGTCATGACCCAGAGTTCATGACCATAGATGAGAATAAAATGTAAATCAACCAGTAAATTAAGAGCTTTGCCTTTTGGCTCAGCTCTCAGGCCGGTACAGTACACACTTCACAGCAGACGCCGCACCAGTCGGCCTGTCGATCATTTGTCAACAAGACCCCAAGTTACTTAAACTCATCCACTAGGGGCAGCGCATCCTCTACTAGGGGCAGCACATCCTCTACTAGGGGCAGCACTTGGTCTCTGATTTGGAGGCACTGATCTTTATCCCGGCCGCTTCACACTCGGCTGCAAACCGCTCTAGTGAGAGCTGTAGATCATGCCCTCATGAAGCCAATAGAACCACATCATCTGAGAATAACAGAGATGCAATCCTAAGGCCACCAAGGCAGATCCCCTCAACACCTTGGCTTTGCCTAGAAATTTTGTCCATAAAAGTTATGAACAGAATCTGTGACAGAGAGCAACCTTTGCGGAGTCTAACCCTAACCGGAAACGAGTCCGACTTACTGCCGGCAATGTGGACCACGCTCTGACACCGGTCATACAGAGACCTAACAGCCCCTATTAAAGGGCCGGTACTCCATACTCCTGGAGTACCCCCAACAGGACAGAGGCAGCTAACGTTGCTAATGTTGCCAAATGTTGCTAACGTTTGCGTCTGTGGTTTGTCTCTAGCTCTGCTGTGCCTCAGCAATGAGGAGATAACCTGAATGGTTTTATGGAGGCTAGATGAGGAGAAGAAGAGTTTAAAGGTTTATTCCTCTGTCATCTGGGGGATGTGTGACATAAAAAGGCAGTGAAGCACGTTGATGTTTCTGGATGATAGAATATGGAGATGTTCAGCGGGTGAAGATTAACTCACACATATCTCTGAAACAAACTAATACAGACTTCTTAAAAGTAGTTGTTTGCTTTCATCTAATCAGTACATGGGCAGAACATCCAGAACCTTGCAGAGCTTCAGAGTAGAAACACTCTGCTCTATGGGCTGTAGGTGGGTTTGCTGTTACCTGCAGGACTCTTCACACAGTCAGCAGTGAGACCAGGAGCTGGAAGGTAGAACATCCCTCTGAGTCCGTTTGGTTTTGCTGTAGCCAAAACATCCCCGAACTGAAAAGAAAGCATCAGTACATCAACCAGTCCTCCACAGACTCTCAGGTAAATCATGAAGGAGCCACTATATGAGCTTTGTGCCCCCACACTAACGGTCACACCTCATCTGAAGGTCAGGAGATCTAGAACCCAAACGGATTGTTGTGGTCCAGAGGTCTGTCAACTTTTCTCCACCAGAGGGAGCCTGAGATCTTCCTCCTGAGTGAATGAGCCAACTTCTGCACACCTGCTCCCCATCTGCTTTTTGGAGGCTTTTTAAGGAGGAGGAGGCTGACACTTCTCTGCCAGAGTGTTTTGCCAGTAACGGTACGGGCAACTTTAAACCTGCTCAACCCAGATCTGCTTCCTGGTTTTGAACCCTCCTGACTCTGTGTTTTTCTGCCTCTCAGATAATGAAATATCTGGAGATCAGCCAACTTCAAGATAAACTCTCGCTGCCTGGAGCCTTACCTGTCTGCCCTCCGCCTCAGACCTCAGCCCTCAACCTGCCGACCAGCCTCTGGACCCTCAAGGCTTCCCCCCCCGACCGGTCAAATACCCCTGATTCTGGCGTCTCAGAGTGACATTGGCTGAATACTCAAATATTCAGCATCTTTCTTTTCTTTGATGAAAACCGCATAAAGCACATTTGTCCAGTTTGTGAACCAAGGCAAAAACCATAAATAATTTCAATATAACTTTACACTTCTAGGTCGCTTAGTGTCTCTCTGTGAAATCATGGATTCAAATCTTTTCCAGGCTCAAATTGACATGTTGGATTGTTTTTAGCAACAGGACTTTGTTCTACTTCATATCGTCTGAAGTCCTGTTTTTTCATGACATAAATAAAATGTTCTGTTACTGTTATTAGGGTCAGGTTTATTGGCGTCCCTGGGTGGACAGTGAGATCCTGGTGCTCCAGGTTGGCCCTCAGCTCTCTGAGCATCAAACCTCATTGTGATGCTTAATTTTACCGGGCTTCATAGAAGGGGATATAATGAAGATCCTCATGCACTGAATAAGTTCGGCGGGTTAACTGCACCGGGCCTAACCTGGTATCCAGATGAGGAATGGACATCTGCAGGCAGATCCTCGTCACGGGTTTCTGAACCAAACATAAAGCTGGTAAACCGTCTGAAGAGCGAATCAAAGCTGCTGTCAGTCGGAAGAGGCGGCGACGGATGAGACAGTCCATCTGCACCTGGACAGAACAAATAAACCTCAGTGAGAGTGACACTCTGCCGCCTTGTGGTGTGAAGCAGTACTGCAGCATCACCGCTGCTCCTCATTACTGCTTTGAATGGGTCTGACAGAACTAAAGGTCTGATCGTCCGCTGCTTTATAGGGCCAATGCCAGAATGTAGCAGCAGTCTGTGAGGGAAAAAAGACAAACTGTTGATGATCTTTAGAGTGAATTAGCTGTGATTAAGCACAGAAACACCTGAAATATGCAGGACAGAACGTAGGAAAACCATCCCATATTGAGTTAGATATGGGAGAATTATCCTGCCATAATGCAAGAGCACATCATTTCAATTTGAGAAAAGAATTTCATCTTCTTGCACTCAAAACTTATAATGCTCACACTCAAAACATGCGCTCTCTCTCAAATATTTTCTCTTCTCTCTCAAATCTTTGTTTCTTCTCTCAGATTTAATGCTTCTTGCACAGATATTTTCTCCTCTCGCTTGCCTCCTTCTCTTCGCGCACAAACTGCGCTCTGCTCCAGTCTCAGTTACGCTCGCAAACCCAGAGGCTCTGCTTGCGGATTTATTTTGCTCTCTCTCAGATTGGATCGGATCGTCGCCTAGCAACCTTTCCAGCCAATAGAACGACAGCCTCAGAAAGGGTGCGCTTGTCTAACTCTACTGAGTTACCTTACTCAGTAGTTACCTTACCGACAATAAAATAGCTTTTTAATTTAAAAGGTATCCATTTTCAGACGTGACGTGATTTGAACAGAAAACTCAGAGTTGCTCGTCAGAAAAAAAAAAAAAAGTTTGCTAGTCAGGACAGACGCTAATTCTGCCTCCAGCAAGAACTTAAGTGACTTTTCATTGGTGATTCTTGAATCGCGCCTTTATTATTTCACAATTTATTGTCTGTAAGGTTTATCACAGGCACACTCAGTAGAGCTAGACATGCACACCCTTTCCGAGGCTGTCACGCTATAAAGGTTGCTAGGCGACGATCCGATCCAATCTGAGAGAGAGCAAAATAAATCCGCAAGCAGAGCCTCTGGGTTTGCGAGCGTAACTGAGACTGGAGCAGAGCGCGGTTTGTGCGCGAAGAGGAGGAGGCAAGCGAGAGGAGAAAATATCTGTGCAAGAAGCATTAAATCTGAGAGAAGAAACAAAGATTTGAGAGAGAAGAGAAAATATTTCAGAGAGAGCGCATGTTTTGAGTGTGAGCATTATAAGTTTTGAGAGCAAGAAGATGAAATTCTTTTCTCAAATTGAAATGATGTGCTCTTGCATTATGGCAGGATAATTCTCCCATAGTTAGAGCCAATACTGATGTCTGTCCATGTCAGCATCGTGAACCTGACCTGGGCTGTGTTTCAGAATGCTGGATAAATATTTGACTTCAGTTTCCCTAAGTCAACTTTTTTAGCTCTGAGATATTCAGATCTTCTGATTCTAGAACCACTGACTTCACTGAGTTCAGGGTAAGCGGCAGCACAATAAGCCCTGACTAATGGAATGCAGAAACCATGATCCACCAGGAGGAAAGCAGGAACTGTTCAATTCAATTAAATCCTATTTAGTTTATTTCTATAGCGCCAAATCACATCATGTCAACCAGATCATACAGTCAGATTTTCTATCTAAGGAAAACCAGAGACAAAACATTCCTACTTAAATAAGGTAAAAAGTATTTGTACTTTGTTCCTTGACGCCTCTGGTTAAAGTTGAGGTCGTACATAATCTGATCTACTCGGTGGTGATCTACTGTAACAGTCTAACGTTGAATCTCTATCAGTTTAAAAACATCCATTTAATAAGAAAAATTGAGTTTGCAAAAAATAGATTTTCAAAAATCTCTGGATGTAGATGTAAAAATTCTTCTGATCATATTGAGCTTTTGCTCTCCAACATGTTCGGACTCCTGAAGGACATCTTGTTTCCTCCTCTAAGCTCTAATGTGCCACAGAAGAGACTCCAGCTACGACCACAGCTGTTTTTTTAGGAGTGAACTTGTCTCAGGATAACATCCTGTCTATGCCTATTCTCACTGATCCCACTCGCCTTTGTGAGTTTGTTTGTTTATTTGAAGTAAACAGATTTTTCACTGCTTTATTTACAAACCGATGTTTAATTACTATCTCAGACCCGTTGTGGTCATCGTGTCCCGATAAGGAATGAAAGCTTGGGTTTAGTGGTGGCTCAGATGGAGCTGATCTGATTCCCCAGGAGAGCCTGAGTCTGAGCAGCTCCTTACGGTTTTGTGACTGGATGCAGAAGACGCCACGGTTAGTCTCCTTCTGAACAGATGCCTGCAGCTGGGAGTAACCGTCCATGGTGGTCCTCAGGGAGTAGCGGGCCACCTCCTGGCTGCACAGCCAATGGCTGCCACTATAAAAGATGACAGGCAGAAATGTCAGTTTGATGTCCTGTTAAAAACCCAGATATTAAACAAACCGCTGTGTTTTTAACTAAGGTCATTTAAGAACCGATCTTTGCTTTTCAGAATGAAACCATCCTCCTCCATAGGAGCCCAGTCCAGGTTCTCCTCCAGCTCAGACACTCCTCCTCACCTCCTCACCGCCCCGATGGAGCAGCGGGTGAACAGAGCCACCTCTTCCCCACAGTCTCTGTCACAGCAGCAGTTAAAGTCACAGCCATCCAGGAGATCATCGCAGGGACACAACCTGTCAGCTGAAGCACACATTAAACCCCGATCACCATGATGTCACCATGATGTCATCATGATGATCTCCATACAACCTCCTGGAGCATAGATCTATGATAGATGGAGAGCTGAATGGACCACAGACCACTGATTTCTATTTATTCACTGGATTACTGATTGCCTGAAAAAAATGAAGCCAACGGCCACCATATTGGTACTCCCCACTCCCACAGAGACGTGCAGTAAAACGCCTCCCTGTGCAGCATCTGGCTGCAGAAACCAACAGTTTTCTGTCTGCAGGAAGACGTTCCACAGGTCATTTCCAAGTCAGTGGATGAACTAAGCAATAAATCCATCTATAGCCGATGGATCCTGTAGTATAGTCTGTAGCGTAACATTAGTCTGGCTATCTGGGACTGACTGGAAGACATTGACTGAATTAGCCACTGACATTGTGTTTAATGTTAGAAAATAGAAAGAAGAGGAAATAGAAAGTAATTCACTGTGAAACATCAATGTAGTAATTATTTATTAAGTGGATGATGCTGTTTTGATTTGGTATGTTTGTTGTATTTCTCATTTGAAAAATTATGAGCTGAAATTAATTGCAGGTTATATTGATGAAAGAAAAACAACTCAAACATTTTTAAAGGCTAATGCACAGACACAGTATAAAGAATATGACATCATTCATGCATAATCTGCAAATAAGAAAATAACATTAGCATTAACAAACATGTACTGGTAATTCAGTCTGGATGTAAAGTTTTTAAATTATATGTACTATGTAATTACCATAACAATGTAATCAATCCATGTATATCACATGATCATCGATTTAGCATTTCGGTCCATCTGCATTGTTATCCTCCATTGACACATTCATTTAATTGTGATGGATTTGTATAATCTGTTATATTAGCCTACATGTTTATAGACTTCATTGACGTCATAATAACTATGCAATGTGATGGGCTTATTTATTTATTCTAAGTTAAAGTTAATTTACTGATGCTATGAATGAAAGTGATGAATTTATCTTTATTTTAAAAGTCTAAGTCTCTCTGAAAATGAGAACATCATGGTTGTTCGATGCTGTAGCGCACAGGTTGTTAACATTCTGACTGGTCTAACTAGGGAGTACCAATATGGCGGCCGGTGGCTTCACTCCAGCCCCGTACTTCCAACGGGTATCAGCAATCCAGGGAATAAACAGAGCTCAGAGCCGCAGAGGGACAGCTTACCGCCGGCCTGCGCAGAGGGGAGGTGACCGGAGACAGGCAGCGGGTCCGCGGCTACAGCGGGCTGCTCTGCGGGGCCGTAGGAGCTCTCAGTCGGGCTGGTTTCCGGCTCTGTTGTTGGATAAATGTCCGTTAAAGTGGACGTAGAGTTCAGCTCTGAGCTGTTATCGGCGCCCATCGACATGTTTTCAGAGGAGCTACTTGAAAAAATAGAGATAAATAAACAGAAAACGAACACATTAGAACAAACCGAGGCAGCCATCTTTGTTTGATCGTTGCTATGGCTTTTCTTCTTCTTGTATATTGTTCTACCGATGGGTTGATTGTTAGCGCCACCGCTGGCTGATAAGCGGAACTGCAGTTTGATATGTCAATGGTAAAGCAAAATAAATATTAAATAGCATTAAATGGAGGCTTAAAATTGACTAAATAAAATAAATACTTAAATCATAAAATAAAATATTTCACAGAAACTACGACAATAGACAATTAAATGCACAACTGAATCAAGAAACAGACTTTCTTTTTCCTTTTAGGACAATTTATTAGAATAGAATAGAATAGAATAGAATAGAATAGAAAAGAATGCTGAAGCTGTAGTAATACTTTAACTACTTTCGCAAGTACCAGCTGAGTCTAAAAGGAGGCACTGGGGATGCAAGAAGATGAGAGAGGAAGAAAAAATGAGATCTTTGGAAAACAACTTAGAAGAGAGAAGGCTTAGTAAGGCCAGTAGGAATAGCAGTAAAGAAGCTTTATGTGTTTTACTGAAACATGGCTGCAGGATCATATCTTGGACTCAAGCATCCCTCTGCCAGGCTTTCTGGAGTAAGATCTCCTCTTGGGAAATTAGATCACATTCTTTTTTTCTATGCTCAGAGTACAAGCCTCTTTATAGGAGGGGGAATGATGTCCTAGTGATGAGAGCAGTGCACATGTGCTCTGAGAGGGTTGCAAGTACCCGGTTCGATGCTGCTGCCCAGGTGCCCCACGATTGCACCCCACTGTTTCCCAAGGAGATGGATTAAATACAGAGAGAGAATTTCCCCATTGTGGGACAATAAAGGGATTTACATATTTTACATAAGAGTGTGTATTCTTTATTTGACCAGTTTTCTACCAGGTCATAATACTGGTTAAACAACCCTGGAATACAACAGATACCTTTATTACTTCTTCCAATCCCTTTAAATCAGCAAAAAAAAAAAGTACAGCTTTAGCAATAAAAATAAATCAAAGTAAGATTATATTACAGCTGTATTGTTAAAAAAAAGTCTTCTTAAAACGTGGTCCTCCTGTCTGAGGCTTATGGTGATGCTTCCTTTAGGAAGTGCCTAAAATAAAAGGATTATGTCCACTAGATGGCCACACAGGACAGCTAATAAAGGCACCTTTTTCTGAAGCTTAGTCCTTCCTTCATGGAGGTAAAACATGATGCTATAAAGTATAGCACCATGGCAATGAAAGGGAGTAACTGACAAATACAGCAGTGCTTTTCCTCAGCATGGATAACAGATCAAAAAAACACATTTTATTTCATTCTAAGTCTGTTTTGTTTTTCACAAATGGGCATTAGTATCTTCCTTTCAGCCAGACTGAAACTGAAACATTCAAAAAGTTCATTATGGTGTAAGTGATCGCACACTTGTTTGGCAACTACTTTCTCAAGAATTTTAGATCAGAAAGGAAGATTGGATATAGGTCTATAATTGACCAAGTCATCTGGGTCAAGAGATGGTTTCTTAAGCAAAGGTTTAATTCCAGCAACCTTAAAAGCCTTTGGTACATATCCCTGTAACAGAGATAGATTAATCACATCTAAAGTCTGACCTGCAGCCTCTGACTGTCCTTGGTGGTGAGGTTTGGACTCTGATTCTCAACAGCCCCTAAGTGCTGCTAAAGTCTGATGATTATCCATTTATTAAAGGATCATAGAATTAAAAACAGAGTTTATATTGTCATAGATGAATAACGATAGTTCAGTGGGTGAAATGGACGTACAGAGAAGTTCAATGCCCATCAACTCCTCCTTTCTCTGCAAATCTCACAATTCTGAACTTCCACCATAAAACGGGTGAATCCAAACGAAACCCCGAGTTAACGTAAACTCGGGAATGTTCCCTATTTGGTTCTGGCCTGGACTTTAGTCACGCCCAAGAACATGAATAGAGGTAGATGTAAGACACCAGTTTGGCCTACAGTTGGGTTTACTTCTACAAGAATTACAAAGCAGGCAGTTTCTCTATTGAAAATGAGCCAGAACCACAGGTGTAAATGCAGCGTTTCAGGCTACATGGAGAAAGGGGAACATTTTCAGTCTTCCCAAGGATCCGAAGATATGACAGGCATGGATTATTTTGTTTATCAGACGATCCCTGCAAAGTTTGATGCTCAGCTGTTCATTTGCTCGAAGCATTTTACTGAAGATGGTTTTCAAAATCTTGGACGGTTCAAAGCAGGATTTGCAAAACTTATTTTACTGAAAGGAGGGGCTGTTCCGACAGCTGGGCTGTGAATGGTCTGGACCTCAGCAGCCATGAGCCGCCCATCCTCAGCCGGAGGAGGGGTGCTGGAAGCCAGTAAGGCAGGCGGGGGGAAACACGAGGCTGCCAGTGTCCAGGCTACTGTCACCGGGTCGGGTCCGATTTCTCCGTCCCCCGCTGACTCCCTGCCCCCATTTGCCGGGGTTCCTGGACCGGACCCGGAGCTGACGGCTCGGTTCGAGTGCCCAGTGTGTTTCGACTACGTGCTGCACTGTAGTCGACCAAAATACTGGACGATTTTGAAATCCCCCCCCAGACATTTTTTTTTGTCCTGAAAAGTAGGACATGTCGGTGAAAAAGAGGCCGTCTGGTCCCCCTACCATGTCAACAATCTGATGTTTCAGTGAGTGAGTGCTTGTTGCTATGATGCGTCTTTGCTCAGCAGCTTCGCTCGTTGTAAACCAACCAATCAGAGCACAGCTCATCTAAATATTCATGATCATACCATAAAAGGAAGAAAACCTGTCGTTTCATTCTAGGGCTTTTAACCAGGCTGCATTAGGGCTCATAGAACAGCAAATATGCCATTTTCAGCCCAACCAATGTTACACACCCTATTCAGAGACCTTAAGGACCAGATACCCTATAGAATCATTCTATCACCACTTTAAATAGACATTCTCCTTATCTGCTGCATTAGCTCTGAATGCAGCTCAACCTTGTATTTTTAGGTCCAACAGGTTCTCTAAGTGTGCATAAGTCCAGTGGATCATGTCCCGGTGCTACAGAGCAGCACCTCTGCACCTCTAATCCTCTCATCCTGCTCATCTCTGTTTCTGTGGCTCCATCTATCTGCTGCCTAATCTCTCCATCTCTCATCAGGTCATTGTCTCTGCTGTCCCCTCTACACCCCCCCACCACATATCTGTGTCCTTCACACCGTAAACACACAGCCCCTCTGCTAGCTCACTGTCAGCCTCTTTGGGTCAGACAACACGTCTAACTAAGGCCTTTCTATAAAAACAGAACACATGTGATATTAGTAGCAGAACACAGAGCTAGAACAGGTAGAATATTGATGCTATCTGGACACCTTTCTCTGCCCTCATGCATCTCTCCGTCTTTCATCTCCGACTTGATAACATCACGTTATCTTCTCTTGAAATGAGCACAGCAGTCACATGCCCTTCCCTGCCACACACCTGCCTCCTTGTCTGCAAAGGTCACAGCAGGGGCTGCTGATCAGGCTGAAATCATGGGCCTCATCAGTTGGAGCACCAAGCTCCAATTGCTCCAAATATGGAAAAATAAATAAAAATCACAAAACCTTTAAATAGTGGGTGTGTCGGAGCCATCGGATGAAACAGGTTGGGTTGGACTCCAGGCCTGTTGAGTGAAGGCAGATAATCTGAGGGACCATCAATGGTTTCAGAGGAGAACAACAGGAGCCGCTCCCTTCATGGTGACACCAGAACTCACAGGCGGGCCGAGCAGAACTTTGGTTCCTCTTCTGCCGATGACCCAGTTTGGATCCAGATGTCAACACAGCACAGGTAGAGAGAAGTACTGAGTGACTGTTGGGTCATCATCTGATTCAGATGGTTGGGTTCAGATTCTGGCATTTTAAAGACCAAAATAAAAAGCATACAGATGACATCATTACATGTTATTACAAGATTTCAACATTTACCACAGTCTTCTTGGGCTTAAATATTATGTCAGAATTATCACTTTTTCTAAGCAGACGTTTTTATATGCTGGATACTTTTCAGCTCTCTGTCGCTCCACCTTCATCTGTACTCGAGTACTCAAACTCGGTAGAGTTTCCTACCTGAATAAATGGATCAAATGAGCCTGCTCTGCAAGATCGACTAGCTTTATTAACAAGTTTAACATCTGGGAAAAGAGACACCTCTTCAAGAGAGATGAATATCACCTGAATAGATCAGGTGCAAAACTTTTGGCTGCAAACATTTTGTTTGATGTGAAACAAAACCAGATAAAGAGTCTCCCTGATGATAAACGCCACCCTACGGAGGCCTATTCCCGTCCTGAGAACAGGCCTCAGCAGGAATGTAGAAATAATAAAGACAGTCAAAATGGTCGATGGCGTGATGGGGAATTAAGGTCAAATCTGTCATTGCTTTGAGGCACAGTGACCACTAAGCCCTCAACAGAATCATCTCCCGTTCAACTAGCGCTCCACAGCACCATCTCCTGTATCCAGCCCAACACTGCAGCGGAATCTGTCCCGTCAACATAAAAAAACTCAGCCCCCACACCCCCCCAAAAAACTCCTACTCTTCTAAGCCAAACACTGCCTGAAAACCATAAATCTCCCCCACAGTTGGCTCTGTCTTCTCCACATGCAAATAAACTGGGCAGTGTTGGCAATCAGGACCTTCACATCACTTTCTTGTGATTCACTTTAAGTTCCATCTGTAACTTTATCAGCTTTGGGATGTTGGGCTTTGTGAGTAGGGTTGCTTTTCATTTTTTTCTGCTAGATTAAGTTGCAGCACAGTGCCTTCCAGAATCTAATGAGGTGCACCGCAGCTGGGTCGACTCATCAGGGAGGAGTATTTAAGGAGCCAGTCCCTTAGCATCTGATTGTTGACCAAACATGGAAAATTTCAAGCCACAAAACCTGCTTTGATTCTAACCTCAGAGTCTCTTGTTTCCCTCTTGCCTTGTCTTTGTCTCAGGTTTTCTTAGCCTCAGCGCAGTGGGCCAGCCAGGTGATTTCCTTGAAATACTGTTATGGTTTTCCCCTTTTGAACCTTGACTTTTCAGTTTTTAGTTATCTATACTATGTCATTCT